TTGGCGGTTAGCTCTGCTCGGGATCCACAAAAACAATCCTCTAATCCTTCAATCTCAACAACCTTACGTTTTCATCTTTCACACTGACCTCATGTTTCCTTGTTGACAATTTCCGAGCTTGAAATAGGTGGCCTATGAACCTCGTTGGTGTCAGAATGAGTCACGGCATGAGTGTCCTGTTCTGTGGAATCTCACAGTGAATTTGCGTGCCCCGGAATATGCTAACAAATCATAATCAAAGGTCTTTGACGGTTGCCACACTAACGAAAATTATCAATGCATGTTATTATTGCCTTATGTAAGCAGTCCCATTGGTGTTTTTGGCGCATCCTGAGGCATTTAGCACACCTTGAGGCTTTCTAGTATCTATTATGTATACTTTATCCATCAGGAAGGCTGTCTATAATGTTTTTGGGCCAAAATTTTTGAGCTTCCAATTTTTTTTTAACGGCCTGACAGCCCAACCAACCAACCGGCCCCCGGTCCGGGATTATGATCCCGACACCCCCTTGTTTGCATCACCCTCGGCGCAGGAGATCTGTCTGCAGCCCATGGACATGATGTCCATTCCCTGGGGATAAGGAGCAGGTTGTGGTGAAGCCGCTTTTATTCTTGTTGCACGGAAAAGATTACTGATGTGCGAGATGCAGATAAGGACTCCTATGATCCCAACTTTGCATGGGAAGGTCGTTATCTCAAAAGGCTCCTTGCGCAAAGCCTGACACGACATCTTCAAATCAATCTCTACCGCCCGCAGCCCACCAGGGTGCGATTGTAAAACGCTTTAGCGTTTTCGGATACACAGACTCTGACCGGATGGATGCTCACGAAGATGCCGTCGAACCCGAAGATGCTCTCAGTGTACCTTAAGTTCGGTTTATTTTGGAGGGACGATCTTTGATCAGGGCTTATAGGACACAGCACGGGGAGGCCGATATGACAATTAATGGGTGAATGTATCTGCACTGTGTCGAGCCTTGAGCACATGTTATATCTACCGCTGGTATTCAACCTTCCAGTTGGTTTTTGAATCTGTGCGCGTCAGATCCTCCTCTTTGCGCTCTATGATATTTACTGACCTTTTGACCGAAGTTACAGGACCTGCAAGTGTTGTGGACAACCGCTGAGACCACTTCTTCAGCCTGAAGGTCACCTGATTTAACGAAGTGTGGTTCGATGTTGACACACCTTCCTTTCAACAGGCACTCATCTCTCTGTATCGACGATGGCTAATCTACTTTTCTGGCCATCCAAATACTTCTTCTACGCCATAGGAAATACGAGCGCGGTATATTTGACTGCAGATATTGCGCTGGAAGAGCCTGCCCGTATCTTACTTTTGGGTTGTGGTGACCCACGCAATGTTCTGCATACAATCTTCACCGAGCCTCGAAACTGTTCGTACTTTCACTGCGTCATCCGAGATATGTTGATGAACTGATCTTCCATCCCACATACAGCTGCCGTGTTAGGTAGATGGGTTATCGCAGTGCGATTTTTACCGACCAATTCACTGATTAATTCTCTTACCTTGTAGCCCGGAATGTGCTATTATTGACCATGATTGCTGATCGCCAACCGTACGCCACGATTTGGAACATATTCTTCCATTTTCGCTTGGACAAAGATTCACATACCACCCTCATCGACCAATGCAAGAAGCTGATTAAACACTCAGAGACCGCCCAGAAATGGAAAGTCTCCCCATACGCGTCTTCCATCAAGATGTCTACCGACTACACGCTCAAAGAACTCAGACGTCATTGGACACTATATGTTGGCATGGAAGAGTTACCGAATTCGCGACTCACACCCATACACGATGCATTTGACCAATTATCCAAAAAGAACTCCAGGGAAAACAAAATCACGGCTACTTGTTCCCTGGGACCTCTCGGACACCGCGGATTAACGATCACTCCGGAACACTTCAGGAACTTCTGGAAGACAGGTGTAACCTTTGTCGACGGAAAGAGAATTGCCACTGCGACATTACTGAATCCGACCTTCGTCTATTCTTTGGGCAGAGAAGGTTGCTCGCTTCATCATGGAACCGATCCCTTGAACGTCTTCCATCTTGCTGCTTTATTCGGCAACGCGAAATCTGCAGTATCTATGACGGAAGTTGTGAAGGCGGCAAATCAAGAGTTCGCGGGTTGGTGTTCCTCTTATCTCGACTCATTATCCTCCACTTCTCCACCCACCATCCGCTTTTTCGTCGGCAAAGCTACTGCCGTTTGCCGTGCACTTTGCGTGTTTGGTGACGTAGGGATACTCAACTCGGGCGTCCCCGTGGCACAGTGGAAGACGCAGTTAATACAGCTCAGTGGAGATGAGTACTATACATCTGCTCCCGGTGGAGCTCCAGTGAAATTCAATGTCATCCACACATCCAACCTGGAGGATCACATCGGATTGCTGAACGTCCTCGTCACATCTTTACCCCTCCTCACATATGTTAGTCATCATGTCCCATACCTAATGTAGTAACCGGATGTGACAACCACTCATGTAACATGAGCCCAGCCGGACCGGCCGGTTTTCTAAACTGTCCCTTAGTGATTGGTACAGCCGTGATCGTTACAATCACCCATCAGCTTGAGGCAGCCGTACTTCTCCCTGACAACGACTCCTGCGGAGCATGCACATCATTGTCCGACGGCGCAAATTGCGGCCCACCTTGGGCAAAATGCGGAGCACCTTGTAAATATACTATAAATATTTTACATAATAATAGGGCCACAGAAGCCACTCAAACACCATGAGGACTGTCATGGGGAGGATGCATATCATCGTCTGCCAGCTCAAATTGTGGGGCACCTTGTAAATGTACTACAATGCTTCCACATAACAATAAGGTTGCAGAAGTCAGTTAAACACCATGAATGTGACCCATTGCAGACCTACATGTACTTTTAACAATTCTTTTGGAACCCAAGCAGCCTCCATTAACTATTGTATATATTATGGGTCCCACAAATACAGCTGAATATGATACACCAGCAGAGGACCTTCCAATAAAAACACATTACTTTTGCATGGGGGACACTTTTTTCTAATAGCTGTGTTGGTCTAGAGCAATATATATATATACTATGAAGCTCCATTAGAGCAGTGCAATTTTTTTTACAAAGACTCCGGCGGAGTAATGCAATTTTTTTAGAGGAGGCCCCGGCGGAGAAATGCAATTTTTTTTACAGAAGACCCCGGCGGAGCATTGCAATTTTTTTAAAAACAACTTCGGCAGAGCAATGCAATCTTTTTTTTTTTAAAGAGCCTGGTGGCCCAACACAATTTTTTAAGAAACAACTCCAGCAGAGCAATGTATATCAAAGAGAACTAAGGAAAATAATGGCCAAAGTATATCTTAATAACTCAATCAATGAGGAGAGTGTCTACTGCTAACATAAAAGAATTTTACTAATGAAGGGTGATGAGGTAAATTATCTGTGGACCTACATACATGTATCTCAAAGAGACTCTGGTGGAGAAATGCAACTTTTGTTAAATTGGTTCTATTGGGGCAATGTATATGAGAGGGAACTTGAATTCAAAGAATGTTTGTACTGGAGCAAAATATCTTCTAAATGGCTCTGCTGGAGCAATGTATTTTTTTTTTCAATAGCTCTGCCAGAGTTATGTATTTCTTTTAAAAATGGCTCCACTGCAGCAATTTTTTATTATTAGGTAGTTCTGTTTGAGTAGGCTCCGCCGGAGCAGTGCAATTTCTTATAACAATGGTGCCACCAGAGTAAAGCATTTTCTTTTCATGGCTCTGCCGGAGCAGTGCAATTTCTTCTAAAGATAGCTCTGGCAGAGCAGTGTATTTTTTTTTCAATGGCTCCACCAGAGCAATATATATTTTTTTGAATGGCTCCGCCGGAGCAGTGCAATTTCTTCTAAAGATAGCTCCGCCGGAGGAGTGTATTTTTTTCAAAATGGCTCCGCCGGAGCAGTGCAATTACTAATGATAGCTCCAGTGGAGCAGGGTATTTTTTTTTTTCAATGGCTCCGCCGGAGTAATGTATTTTCTTAAAAACAGCTCCACTGGAGCAATGCAATATTTTAAACAATGGCTCCACTGCAATGTAACTTTTTCAAATGCCTCTGGTGGAGAAGTGCAATTTGTTTCAAAATAGCTCCGCTTGGGCAGTAAAACTTTTATAAAGTTGCTCCGGCAGAGTAGTGATTACTTTTTGAGATACAATCCACATGATGTAACAATGACTTTTAACTCACATAAAAACCATCTCTGTCAAGCTGGAGAAGGCAGAATTCAAATGAGCTAGGCCCAACAATAAGTTGTTCAGGAGAAAGATAAGTCTTGATGGTTTTACTGTAAAATGTACCATTTTGCACTTTGTTTGAGGTCCGCAAAATTTAATAATGAGTTTCAACCCATGTAGAAACCACCTTTAAAAAGCTTGGAAAAGCATGATTCCAACAAGCTATGCCCGATGATAAGTTGTTTGGGGAAGAGAGAAGTCTTGACGGTTTTATTGTAAAATATAGCATTTCACACATTGTTTGAGCTCCACAAAATGTAATAATGAGCTTCAACCCATATAAGAACCACCTTTGAAAAGCTTGGAAAAGCATGATTCCAACAAGCTAGGCCCGATGATAAGTTGTTCAGAAGGAAAAAAAAGTCTTGATGATTTTCATTGCAATGCCATAATGCAGTCAAGATTTGATAGAGATTATTGACGTAAAACACCTTTTCCTATGTTTGTCTATGAAAACAAAACATCTCTCAAAGATTTTTACATAGTAATTAATATGGCAGCTATGTCTATCAACTGGCTGGTTTGGAGGTTATATGGCTTGAAAATGGGTGAGTGCATTGCTATTCATCGGGATGCAGGGTCTGTTTGCATCCGGCGGAGGGTCTGTGCACCAGGCGCATCACCTCAATTTGGAAACGACCCAGGCACAGATTTCAACTTTGATGGGTCCCTGCCCAGGAACAAGCAGGATAACCGGACCATCCCTGTTGCGGCAATGCCTTTTCACAATATGTGGCCCTGCATGATGAATACTTGGTTACCTCTGGTTATCAGCAACAAAGCTCATATTGTCTGAAGGACCATTAGATTTGTGGTGTTTTAGGAGGTAATGTGCAGTGCTTAGCTTGGCAGAGGATAAAAATTTGGCAGAGGTTGATGGCAGGTTGGTTCTGCAGAGTGTGATAAAAGAATTACATCACTGGTGGAGAAATGTTTGTTGGTGGGTTGCCCTTGCGGTGTACTTAATTACCTACATGTCTGAAGCTCATTCAGATAGGCCATTATGTTTGTGAAGGCAATGTGCGGTGGCTGGTCCTATTGGATATTATAAAAAGAAATTACATCACCGGCGGGGTAATATTTGCAGAAGGATTGCCCTGCTGGTGTAGTTAAATATCTTTTTGAAGTCAATGTGTGAAACTCATTGTAACAGGCCATTATACAAATTTTGCTATGTTTGTGGAGGCAATGTGTGATGACTGCTCCCACATGGTGGTCCATCGGAGTATTGTAAAAAGAGTTACATCATTGACAGAGCAATATTTGCAGAAGGATTGCCCTGCCAATGAACTTAATTTATTCTATTATAAAATCTTTGTTATGTTTTCGGAGGCAATGTGCAGTAGGCTGGTCCCGCATGGTGGTCCGGCGGAGCATCACCAAAAAAATTACATCACCAACGGAGTAATATTTGCCAAAGGATTGCCCTGCTGATGTACTTAAATAGCTTTGTGTTTTTGTGGTACTCCACTTTTAATGCCTCAAAAAGAAAAGCACTACTCCGACAGAGTCATTAAAAAAAATACATTGAATCATTTTGCACTTCTCTGCCAGAGTCTTTTTTAAAAAACAGCACTTCTTCGGTGGAGCTTCATGATATATATATATATTGCTCTAGACCTCCAGCAGAGCTATTAAAAAGAAGGCATTTCATTTTTCTTTTATGCTACCAGCAGATACTCTCCTCATTGATTGAAACACTTGGTTATCATTTTCATTAGTTCCCTTTAATATACATTGCTCTGCCGGAGTTGTCATTAAAAATATTGCATTGCTCCGCCGGCATTGTCATTAAAAATATTGCATTGCTCCGCCGGCGTTGTCAAAAAAATATTGCATTGCTCCGCCGGAGTTGTTAAAAAAAAATATTGCATTCTCCGCCGGTGTTGTCAAAAAATATTGCATTGCTCCGCCGGCATTGTCAAAAAATATTGCATTGCTCCGCCGGAGTTGTTAAAAAAAATATTGCATTGCTCCACCAGAGTCATTATAAAATATTGCATTGCTCTGCTGGGGTTGTCTTTAAGAAATATTGCATTACTCCACCCAGGTCTTAAATACCTTTGCAGATTGAATGTGTGGAGCCTCTTCTGACAGATCAATCCAGTATTTGTCATTTATGCAGAGGCAATGTGTGGTTTAGTCCAGTGGAGTGTCTTACAGAAATTTCATGTCACTGGTGGAGTGGTCCGGCGGAGTATCATAAAAAAATTACATCACCAGTGGTGAAACATTTGCCTCACTGGTTGAACTAAACACTTTTGACAAAGGAAATGCATGAAGCCTCTCCTGACAGAACATTATAAAAATGTTATCATTTCTTTTGGAGGCAATGTGCAGTGCTTAGTAGCTCCAATCAAATCATAGCAAACAACATACATAGATTGACAATATTATGCATGATTTGTATGAGCCAGGCTTGTAATTCTAAGTGTTCATTATGATCATGACCGCCGGTGCAATATTCAGCCCCGGCGGAGGGCAGCTCCGCAGGAGGATATGGCAGTCAAGGTACACCTGGCTACTCCAATCATATGGGGCATTGTTGCTGATGGCCAGCCCATGGTTACTGGGTGATTGTACAGGGTCTGGCCGCCCCTTCCATATTGGGGCCCCACCATCAAACTGGCTGGGCCCTTACCACATGGTTGTTTGTCAGGGCCAGGTGGCCCATCACTATTGGGCCATGATGACTAACATAACTGCCCTCCTCTTGCATGAACCATCCAGCGTTCTATATACCGAATCACTTCTTTTCCTTGGGCAGGACTCCGCGACGAAGGAATTCACAGAGCATCTCCACGCTGACCTCTCTGTCATTGGTCTTCTCATCGGTTTATCTCCAGTCGATTATCTCTGTGGATTTTCCACTCGATCCAACACGCATGAGTTGATTATGCACAGGCAATTGAAACCAAAAACAAACATATCGCAGTTTCAACAGGTTACGACTTGGAAAGCACCTACTTCTGGAGATATAATTGCCTCTCAGACGGGGAATATCTCGTCTCCTGTGTTTGATGGACATCAGCTGGGGACCTTGCTTTATGACATCTACCAGTCCCTCTTCGACAAGAGACCACAAAGGTGTTCTTGGCTGCCAACCAGAAGAACATGTCCAAAGCAATTGGAGTCTCAAATTTTGTGCATTACAGTCGAGAATCCTTCGTCCTCTTGCTGCAGCTCATCCGCCGTAGGCTTCAGCTCTCTGAGGATTCATGGACTCATGTTATGGACCAGTTCATGTCGCTCCAACTCGCCGCATGGTCGATCGAGTCAATGGACACAGTGCACTACCAAGATTTTTGTGGGCAGTTACATCGGCACGGTGTGTATAAGGGCCCGTTCTTCCATACCACTTCGAAGACTGGACGGTTTTCACTTTGGGACACAGTTCCTGATCTTGTGCGGATTGTTCTCGTCGTCCCCCGTGAGAAACTTTCTGTGCTAGAAAACTCGAATCCCGACGAAATTGGCACTCCACCATTGCAGTGCGACATTTTTGGTGTGCGCCGCCATAACATATTCACCGCCGTACACATTGCATTTGGACGAGCAATTCCCATGGGAACGAAATCTCATCCACAGGTTATCTTTGAAGAGGATACGAGTGGTTGGGCAGGAAGCTCATCACTTGTTGCATCCTTCGTTGCACCTTCTTGGCTTCTCTGTGCAGACTCGGACCCCCAGAGCAGCTCAGCATCGGCTTCAGCGTTCGCGATACGCCGCTTGCATGTGCAACCCTCATCAAGAAGCTGGGTTTCGGTCTCCATGTATTCAGCGCCAAATTGATGGACAAGACCCTTGTTCACGTCCTCCCCGAACACCCCTTGCCCTCGAGATATCCCTCTGAATCATTAGGCCGTACAGAGCCAGGTGTATTGTCTCAGATCAGCGAATCTGGGCCTGCGTCTGTCGAGTTGGATGAACAGTGCGAATTGATCACGTCTTTGACTGCACGGGTGTCTATCACCAACGAGGACTCTGTGCGGCTGTTCAGTGAAGCCGGCGGTAAAGTCGTCCTGCAAATCACGCAGCTCTCGCCTTGTATCATCAGAGTTGCACTGGGTGACCGAACCCAGGATATAGTGTATCCTTTCCCCATCGCAGGCAGTGCGCATCGGCTGTGCCTCGCTCAGAAGTCACGATATATTGAGGTGAGTACCTACTTATCACTGATTCTTGAAGTTCTGCGTTTAAACTTCCGCTTCTGCCTTATAAGGTCGTTGTACCGACCTCCAGATCACTCATGCCGGATGGAATGAAGCTGAATCCGTTTCACGTCATCAACTCGAAAGGACTGCTCCATGCATGGAGCATCCATCGGGTTAATCTGTCCGCCTTGCCCGTCCTTGACGTCAAGGCCAGAAATATCAAGGAGTGGCTCGACCCCCACATCGCCTTGACGATGTCCGCTCACAAACTATCACTCAGGAAGAAAGACCAGATTGACACTCTCATGTTCGTCAAAGACACCCTCCAGTCCATTTTCGTTGGCGCCTCAGGAACCCAAGGTGGTTCCGTGCATCGTCTATTTGCTCTCCGCGATAAGAAGACAAATAACTGTGATACCTGCATCTTTGTCGATGACCTTCGTTACGACCTGGCGTCTCATACACTTATCTGCGACGGGTACGTCCTCCCCCTGACGGTGAGGATAATAATGGAGAATGAGAAGCCTTTCGCGAAGCTGGTTCACCAGGGGAAAATGAGCTATATTGGTGTGCTCGAAGGCAAGATGCAGGCATGGAAGCAGCTCTTGCCCGCCTTTGTGGAGAGGTGCCGGTCTTCCTGGATGCATGGGGCGAATTGTGAATATATCGCTCAAGGCCGCATCCCGCTCACAGAGGATATGGAGGCAGACCCACTGTGTAGTTGCGGAAGAGGGAAGGACGTCGAAGGGATGCATAAAGTCGAACTATGGAAGACATTCGCACCGTACGTCACCCGGATTGCACTTTCGCCATTGTTTGCAGTGTCTTATCTTGAGACTGTGGGTCGGGATCCGGACGCTCACAAGTGTCGTGTATGCAGAAGGAAAGGCAAACCGAAGATCAAAGTATGCACGGGGTGCAAGCCCTGATTAATGATTGGTGACCGATTTTTGAGCGTTTATCACAACTGTGTACTAGTAGCACAAGAATCATTGTACATTGAATACAGTGCGAGATATTAAGTAAATTTCATGTGCTGAAAGTTTCGAGAAGGATACTATCTCTACAGTGCTTTGGTTCATTAATGCGAGATGATGGCACTAGGGAGGGAGGGTTAGAGGTTGAAAATAATTGGGGAGTTGGCTCCCATTTTTTTGCCTCCAGATGCTTATCGGACGACGTATTCACACCACTTCAGTTACAACAACTTTTTCTAAACGCCATCATTCATTCAATACATTGTCAAATAGCTAGCCGAAATGTACCAGGTAATCACACACCAAACGGCAGGTTCAACGAGCTCGAGCTCGACTGACCCCCTCTAGCCTTTTTCCCGCTCCCCCTCCACTCCTCCCCCTCCGCCTCCCCCTCCGCCAACGCCCTCCTCTTCCTCTTCCCCCCACCACCGCGGTACTCGCGCTCTACCCCCTCGCCGTTCCCCCATTCACAACAGCAACGGCACCCAACCGTTCCATATACTCACTCCTCTCCATGTCCGTTTCCACACCCGCGATCATCACGCTCCCCAATTGTTTCTGAATTTCGCTCAACCGTCGTTGAACACGACTGCGCCCCATTTCACTTGAATTTGTTTCGAGGTCTGAGAGGAGCTTGAGGAAGAAGACTTGCACGCCGTGCGTTGAGATCGTTTGTCTGAATCTTGACGATTTCGGCGCTGCACCACTGTCAGTTAGCCTAAGAAAAAAAGACGAAAGAAGAAAACTGACCATCCATCTCATCTTTCAACTCCCACAACTCCCTCTCCCCATCCTCATCCAATGCAACAGGTGTAGATCAAGCCTCCTAACGCCCTTCTCCTTCTCCCTCCTCTCCCTCTCCTTCTCCCTCTCTCGGAATCCACGTTCCTTCTCCCTCATGCCCTTTTCACGCTCTTTAACCCCCCCTCTCGCGCTCCTTGACCCCCTTTTCCCGATCCCGTGCTTCAAGTTCGCGCTGCGCGCATTCTTGTTCTCTAGATTCGATATCCTTCTCGTGATCGTCGAGTTCTTCATGTGATGAATCGTCAACTTGAATCCCAACCTCATACCTCTCATACGTCTCATTCGAGATGCCCAGAACCCCAGTGATAGTCTCCATCATGAACTTGATGAACCGCGGACACGAACGATGTCGGTCTTTACACGCGACCCGTTTGACGTCGCAGATCCGTTTAGTTGGGTCCTGGGCACAGCATTCGCATGTCTACCACAATAAACAACGTCAGCTTTACGTCTAAAGGGGAAACGAAAGGAAAAGAAACAGACGACGGTGTCTAGCGAGTCTAACCATTGTTTCTGTCATTCCCTGCCACTAGACGAACTCTTGAGGTTACAGAATCCGACCAGAGCACGTGTGACAAATTTGTTGGTCACGTTTTTCTTTTCACATGATCTCCAAGTCAAGGTCCGAACCTCTTCTTCACTCCCACCACTCCTACTCTGCCTAATGCCCCTCTCAGCAATCATAACACAACCCGCGAAACTCGCAGCCCAGCGTATCTGTCCTGTCCAACAATGTTCGCGTGCAGGTCGCGCATTCAACCATGTAGCCTGTCCGAGTCTCAACCAGTCTATCCACCGATTTAACCACCTTATTTCATCATCATCTGGAATGCTACTTTTTTCTTCTTCTCATCATCTCGAGGCGCCCAGAATGGGTGATAACACATTTGTCGTCTGTGCACTTCTTGTGTTACATCCGTGAGGACTGGCATTTTACCGCATTTTCACCCCTTATTTTGCACCCCCGCGTGTTGGCTCTGACTTACTAGCCCATCTCTTCTAATAAGTAGGAGCGCGGTTCTCGCCTAGGTACGCACTATCAACGCTCAAAGTCAAAACACGTGGTCGTACTGGGGCATTACGGATGCGGAGGCGTAGCCCCCTCTATGCTTTTGTTCCAGTCTCCACTACAGCCCACCAACTGTAGATGCCGAGAAGCACTGTGGACTTCAGTTTAGTCCTGCGAATTTGGCGGTCCAGAGCTGGATACAATAATATTCGGGATTTGTATGAGACGTCTGTTTGCTTCTTTTCTTTTTTTGTACGATTTGTTTGGTTGACGTGGAGGGTGACTGGGTTGAAAGCCGGAGAATTGTATGTCATCGGAAAGAATAACTGTGCATGGAGGAGTTTGCCTTAATTTACATTGTCGTACGCTTTGTCGATCACCCGTTTTTCATGGACAAGTACTGAGATTTATCTTGGTTACCTGCGTTCCGCGCTCTGGTGGAAGAGAATGTCAAGGTAAACCTTGAAGAGGATCAGTGATTTGACATGTGAGTCCCTTCCTTTTCCCCATTTTTGTGTTCTTCGCGGACTAAAATGAATTGATGAACAGCACTACGCACATGATCTTGAAGGTGTGCCGGTGTACATCCATGGCTGGGTGTACGATGTGGAGAGCGGAGAGGTGTCTGATTTGGGTGTCTCTGCTGGTCCGTCTGGGAAGGAGGTTCCGCCCACGCCGTTTCCTCTTGTTGGTTCATTGACCTTTTTAAAATTGATGTGCCTAGTAAATTTGGGCAGTATACCGACTCGTTTGTAATGGAAGGGAAGGATTTTCATATGCTCACTTTTTATGATCAAGTTTCTTGCTCGCTCTACTAATGAGGTCACGGTTCTTGGGTGATGGACCGGTAGACTTCCGTGGTTATGTGCTTACTCTCTGGGTGCCAATGGCGCTGGGTAATTGATAGCACGTCGAGGGTGGAGAGTCGAACCTCGGAAGAGAGGGTTTGGCCACGTTAGCATTCATATGTACACTGTACGCGCATTCGCGTTCTCATTGATTCACTCGCGCCATTTCCAACGAGAACCCCCAAATGAAGGAGAAAACTCATTGTGAATTGAAATGGACGGAAACACGTCGCGACGTCCGTCTGTAAAAGCCGAGAACTGCATGAAGTCAATATGTTTTTTCCGGACATCGGGATAAAAATGCCAGTGGGAAGGTTGTAGCGACGCCAGCAGAATTTGAACCTGCGCCCTCACGCAATCACGTAACTATGCAAAGCGTGCACGCTACCCCTGTGCCAAGAGCCCCATGTCATGGCTGCTCAGCAGATTATGTTCAGGGACTGGACGCTGAATACGATCATCCAGTACTACGTCCTCTGTCTCCCATCTGTTATATAACCGCTTTTATACCTGCAAGTTCGACATTACTGCAGCCAATTTATACCGCTAAACGACCGCATTCCCCTAACTGTCATAGTGTGCAATTCAAGGCGGCAATACCCCTCAGCGGGTTGGACACTGCCAAAATGAGGATGGAAAAATGACCAATCGCCTCACATTCTCATCCTCAGATACTGGGGATATGGTCTCACTCTTGGTTGAGCAAAATGATATCCAAAACTTCTTCGAAACCTATCTGCATGTCACTCCAGATGGAGATTCGCTTTCCTGTCTCTCTGGTGGAATTCTATTCCAACGCTTGATCCACTCTACGAAAGCTCTTCCTACACTTGTTGCTGAAATGGAAAAAGTCAAGATTCTTCATCATGCGCTGCAATGGGAGATGTGCTGATCTCTGATTGTTGTATTTGATTGGTACACTTCTACGGGCCCAGAGTTTGCTCAGCGGCTTCTGCAAATTCATCAACAGGGTGGCTACAAAGCTTTGAAACTGCAATTGCCGCCATTTGCAGATATTGTGAACCACATTGTCCAATATGTCCAGGAATCGCAGGATGCAGCGCGAGAGGGAAAGCGAACATCCAAGCGGAAAGCCAAAAGCGCCAAACGTACAGTCGCTGCAGGCAAACCTCCAAGAAAGCCACCTACAATGCCTGAGACGCCGCAGGCTAAAATAGGGCCAGTGCGGCAACAGCTTTCTCATATTCCTTATGACCTTTACGGCTTACGAAATGGGGCAAAGAAAACTCAAATGATCCATCTTCCAAACCTGGCACCATATCATGTAAAGCCTGGGTTGGATACTCTTTACACTTCTGGTGGCTACATTCTACAAGAGCTCTGGTCATGGGAGCTTCTTATGCCACACCTGGCTTGTATCGACAAAAAATTCAGCAGCTCTCGTCGCACTGTCAATGAAGCTAAAATTATTGACCGAAGCATTGTTAGAGGCGCAATCCTCCATTGCATAGCAGAGGTGTATGGAACGGATGCTGTTTTTGCTTCATTATCTCTGGAGCCGTTTCTCACCACCCCTACCATCATCTTTGCCGATCATCTTCGAAAGGATGAAAAGTTTTCAAAGCAGGTTTTGAAAGCGACCCAAAAGACTCTCGCACCACTCTTCGATTTGATCAAGACCCGTGTCAAAGGAAATACGCAACTAGCTATTGACGCGCATGAGCTTGGGCAAAAGGTTCAACATCGCCTCTTGGAATTGCACCATGGGCGATCCTTATCCCCAGATGAACTTCTGAACCTTGGTAAGGTCAATGAGGGAGATATTGCTGAAAAGGATGCCCCCAAGAAAAAGCCTCAAGCACCAGCTCAAAAACCAAAACAAGGATTTTCACAGGTATCTCTCAAGGTGCTTCTGCCCAATGACATGAGTCCAAAGTTCGGCATGCTAGGACTCATACTCAGAGAAGTGTTGAATGACAGGCGTAATTTGGGAGCTGGCCATGATATTTTGCGGAGGGTGCTAGAGGGATGGCACACATCCCAGAACAGCAAGAGAGAGCACAACCGAGATCAGACAGATCCCGTCAGACAATACTCATGCACTGCTCTTCTGATGCAGGAACATCTACCTGGTTCAAAACTTACGGCCCCAGAAGGTCTCTCCAATCTACTCTCATGGATGGGGACCGGTCAAGGACACAGCACCAAAAAGTTTTTGGACATCGTGTCAGCTTCTGGCAGCTTTTTTCAGCATGACCTTGACACAATGCTG